GTCCTTTGACGATCTTCGTGGTGAGCCTTTGTGGACGCTCCAAAATCTTATGATCACGTTATAAATACGGATTCCAAATTTGGATGGTATACTCAATATGCGGCCGGATGTTTGCTGGCAGCAGACGTGAGAATAAAGATGGTTCAAAACGACCAAAAACATGTTTAAGTAGACCAACATGTTTGAGTGTTGTTCATGACACCCTGGCACAATTAACAGAACAGCTCAGGTCTTCGTGTACTATAACACCCAAGTCCTTCTTTGTTGATGCATGAGACAGTAGTTGGTTTCCGAGGAAATAAGGAAACCGCCCATGATGGCTTAGCGAAATCACCTTGCATTTAGAGACATTAAATTGGATATCGTTCTCAATAGACCATTTGTGAGCTGCATTCAGTGTTTCCCGGAGTTCCAGTGAACCCCCAATTTCTGTCACTGTCCTCCAGATTTTGACGTCGTCTGCAAACAATAATGTTTCTGGTCCTAGGTCATTCGGTAGGTCGTTTATGAACAAGAGAAAAAGTCGCGGACCAAACACAGAACCCTGGGGGACCCCGTAAGAAATGGCGATAGGGGCGAACAGTGAATTAGAGACTCGAACCGACATGGTTCGTTGTTAGAGAAACGCAGCAGTCCAGTCAAGCGCGAGGTCTCTGATACCAGTTTTTCGGAGCAGTATTTCGTGGTTCACTCGATCGAACGCTTTGGAGAAGTTCAGGTAAACCACATCAGCTGCATCACCTTTGTCTACTGCGTTTGTCCATTTATCGCGGACCAGGAGCAGATTGGTAGTACATGATCTCTTTCGACGGAATCCATGCTTTGCTGGGGAAAGGAGGTCGTATTTCTCTAAGTGTTTCATCAAGATATCCGCTACGATGAAGTCCATGACTTTGGATAGCACGGGTAGGAGTGTCACCGGGCGGTATTTGGCCAACCGTCCATGCGAGCTTGAGTGCTTGCACAGATTGCTTTGGAGCGCACAAACCTGGAGTAGGGTGGTAGTGGAGGGGTTGTGGAGACGGACGCTGACTGCGTCCGTTGTGGCTAGGATAGGGAAATGCATGGGTCTAGACCGTCTCGTTCTAATTCTGACCAGAGGTCCAAACGCTTCTGTCACATTTACGGTGTGATTGGTATCAACAACCGGGAGCTACAAAACAGCACTAGAGGTTGACCTGATTACGCGCTCGGACAGAGGCCTGCTCGTGCGACCAACATATTTTGCTCCACGGGAGGAAGTATACACAGAAAGAGGCAGCAGAATTGGGCGTTCTAGCGGATTAGATGTGACTCGGGTCGGACGGTTTGTTGCATGGAACGTTTTGTTCAACGTAACTGACAGTCTTCTATACCCAATCGGGGCTAAGGTTTCATCTTAACCCGGGTAAATAGATGTGCACAGACTTTTTATCACCAGCAACCCCCTCTTGGGGAAACACGCCTCGTGTCTTTTGCATCACAGATTTGACCAGACACTCCTGGGTATCCATTCTGGATGAAGTTGTCTCGGGGTTCATCAACCCGCATATCTCCCATGCAGATTGTTCTCATTCTGTTGGCCGAACAGAGTATGAGATTCTTCTTCATATTGAGTGGTACAAACCTACGGAAATGAATGTACTAATCATTCCACGTAGCCTTCTTGTGGAATGACCGCCTGGTCGACTCGTCATCACGACGAGTTTCACCTTCTTGGCATTCATTCATTCATTCATACGGAAGACTGTACAACAGAGCCTTCGAAAGCCTCAATATGGTCAGGGTGGGTGTCTGGGATTGTGACTGGTCACCATTTCCTTACACCTCGCGAAATGCTCCTATATGACCAAGCATCTCAAATAGCCTCTGCTG